AGTCTTCCTAAATTCACTTTTATTTTGCAGGAGAGGGAGGTGGGTCTCCCTGGAGCTTCCAACAGCCCCTTTGCCTCCAGGTTACTTCCTCCTTTGGCTGCAGGAGTTTGTGGCCATCCAGACTAAAAAGCTGACATTTGGGAGTTGATTTACTCCATTGGCTAACAGCTGCAGGCACCTGAGAAACCTGAGAGCAGTAAGGTTTCCTGTGCCCAGGTGTGTCTGCGTGGGGAGAGGGGGAGGCTCATGGCTTCTCTGCTGTGTTGGGTGGAAGTTGTGACCTGGTGGCCAAAGCCCTGGACCCGAAGTTCTCAGAAAATCTGACTTCAGATTTTGATTCTGCCCCTTACTGACTGTGTGACCTTGAGCAAGTCTCTTGACCTCTCCAAGCTTCATTATCCTCATCTGTAAAATGGGCCCTGGCTGGGGTAGCCCAGTTGGTTAGAGCGCAGTGCTAATACGCCAAGGTTGCAGGTTCAATCCCTGGTCAGGGCACATACAGGAATCAATGAATGAATGCATAAATAAGTGGAACAACAAATTGATATTTCTCTCTCTCAAAATCAATATATATATTTAAATAGGGATAATATTACCTATCCCACAGAGATATCCTGAAGATGCTCAGAAAGCCATGTGAACATAGAGCTATTCAATATTTCAATTCAACCAAACACATGCCATGCTCCAGACTAGGTGCTGGGAGCATAAAGATAAATACAATACTAGCTCTCTTCACATTGTTCAGAATAGAAACACTATTAACAGGAATTCATCTTCTTCCTTCCCTAGGTTAGCCTTCTCTTAGGATAGCAACAGACACTTCAGGACTTTGACTCTTGGTGTTGATAAATTTCACCTCTGTGCTCCCAAGATCTCGCTGATAGGTAAGCAGTTATGTTTACACCCTTCCGTGTTAAACACGGGAGATGGAAAGGTTACTTAAATGTTACGGGGAAAATATCCCTGTTATGTTTTCAAGTTATTATGAACACTGATCTTTAGTTCCCAGGCCTTACCTGAAGATGTTTCCATGGTGAAGCTTACTTGGCACTTTAAAGAAGTAAGTATGGAAAACTGGAATTCTCTCTTACTCCCTGTACTCTCAGGCTGTCTGGGTTTACATTCCAGTTGAAAAGACTGGTCACAAAAGATCAGTTCCTGGTTTAGCTACCTTTATGACCATTTTCTGGCTCACCTCCTGATTTAGGGTTCAGGTTCTACCCTATAAACAAAAGGGCTTTCCAGAAAACATTAGCTCAGTTTATAAACAGAGGCTGACACGAAGTAACTAGAGGAGAAAGAAAATGAAGGATCTGGTTTGAACACAAAGCCCATCCTTCCCTTGGAGGAGTAATTCTACAAGTCACAGAAAAATAGTTTTCATTTCTGAATAGATTGGAAAAGAGCCTTTGCCAAGAGCCACTTGTTTAAATTTTCAATTTGAATTTTAAGCAGGATTATACATGCCCAAGAACATCAGGCTATTTTTAGCTAATAGGTAAGATTGCTGTGTCCACAACAATTTGGAGCAATCAGGAATGAAACTATTAAACAGTATCTCTCACTGTTTATCACTTAGTACTTCTACTTTAATGTTTTCCAAAGCTTCATCATAAAAATGCTTGTACCATGTTAGGAACAGTAGAGTTCAAGTAGACAGCCACAATTTTCTCTCTTCATTATGGATTTGACCCACACGAAGCAAAATAGGTTAGAGCATTCATTCCTACCCAGCTGCCAGCCAGCCCCTAAGTGCACCGTCTCTGCATCTTGAAAGGAGAACAGTAATGAAAATGTTCTAAAATTGACTGTGACCATGGACGCACGACTCTGTGAATGGACTCAAAGCCACTGAGTTGTACATCTAAATGGGTGAATTTTAGGGTACAAGAATTATATCTCAATTAAGCTGTTTAAAAAAGGAGAAGAATTGTTCTTACTCTTCTAATCAGTCAAAGCTACTTTTCATACCCTTGCTCACGCTAAAGGGTATGTAGCTAAAAACTGCACTGATTTGGCAATGGTACCTCAGTGGCCACCATGGACACCATGCTACTGGTCCCCTGCACGTACGTCTTCCTTTCCCTCTCTCTGCCTAGTTTCTCTTTCCCCAGTGCCTTCACACCTTGTTCCTCTGGTCTAACTAGGTCCTAGGTTTCTCAGGCATTCCCAAGCACAACTGGTCCCAACTGGTGGACCTCAGGAATAGCCTGATTGCTGACCTTGGCAACCTTCCCTTCATGACCTTAGGCAAGTCACGTCCTTGTTCTCCTGCTGCTGTTCCAGTTTTCATAGTGAGTTGGACCACATAATCCCTTCCAGCTCCCACATTCCATGTGAAAAATATGCAAAGAGCGAACCCTTACTTAGGCAATAACATGCGGTGTCTGCCATTTTAGCCAACAGACATATATTTGCATTATTCATTTTGTAAATGGCCATGTGATGCAACCTTGCAAAGAACAGTATTTAATGTCCTTATAAAATGATGAACATGGAGTTAATATTTTTAAAAGCTATCACTTTATCAAAGAAAATACAGAGCCGGACACACAATGCTTGAGCCCCTCTGAACCTGTCTCCAAGGGTCCATTTTCCAATAAGATTAAAAAAAAAAACAAACAACGTTTGCACATTGGGACCCTGTTGGATTTATCAAAGCAAAGAAAGAAGTAAGATTGGGGTGACAGAGCTTTAACAGCAGTGCTCCAACTAAATGATAAGAGAAGAAAGGCTTTGTGTAGCAAGTGGTAGAGAGCACCTCAGCATACAGTAACCACTTCTCAAAAATAGTCTCAGAGAGCAATCAACACTGCAGGAATCCTTTTACCCTGGGCAACTTGCAGCTTTGTATGAAAACCAGTTACATTCCCCCAACAAAACTCACCAAAACATGCAGTCACCAGTTTCCAGCATCCTACCACTAGAGAGATTCACAGTATTGTTTCCATGTGCCCAACATCAGAGAGCAAAACCGAAACACATCAATTTCTCTCTCTCTCACACACACACACACAAACAAATATGCAAGAGAAACCATTTTCTTTGCAGAAACTGCATTATCAAAGTTGTGCGCATGAAAGTGAATAAATACCGGTTGCCAATAACAATCAGATGGTTAGCTCTACTCTAAGAAGCCCACAGCAAACGCAGGAATCATAAAAACAATAACCCTAAGGTGTGTTTCTTGTCTTTAAGCTGAACACCAAACAAGGAGAGAAATGACTCAGAGTGTCCATCTGCATCTCTCTGTCCCATTACCTCAAACCAGCCAGTTCTCCTATTAGTTACCTCCCTACACTTTTGCCCGGATCCAGAAAGGTTAGTGCAGGAGGGGGTCGGTCCCTCTCTTCTTTCCCTTCAAAGCTCGAGGATGGAGGTACTGAACCAGAGTGGGGGGAGGGCGGAAAGGACAAAGGTAGGCACTTTAGATACCTCACGGCTCCCAGCCCCTCTCTTTCTCATCAGGGAACCACCGCACCTGCCCCGAGAGGTCCCGTCCTCCACATTAGTAACCAACCCACGGGGCCTAAGTGTCCAAAGAGCCCGGGCTTTGCAGCCCTAAGGGACAAAGGGTGGGCTAACAAAGAGGAGGGGGAGGTGAAAGAAATCGGAGCAAACAAAAGCAGGAGTGGGGGACCCTGTCGAGGCCAAGCCCGTCTCGGGTGTTCCCAGAGGCAGCCAGGTTTGGTGGATTCATGAATGTTGGGGGAGGAGCGCTTTAGAAAATTCCTCTGAGCTTGGGGATTAGGGAGCTGCAGCGGGAGGCCCGAGGCCCTGGAGCGAAAAAGGGGACAGAACTGGTGGGCTAGGAGAGGTGATGGCAAAGAGATGCCGCAGACAGTGCCCAGGAACTGGGGAGGGAGGCGCTCCCTGGGCCCCGGAGGGACCCCCAGGAGGGGCTCCAAGCTGAGCCCGCAAGGACTGGGCAAGAGCGCAGAATGCGGGGCGCAGTGTTGGGAAAGAGAGTCTAGTCTGAGAACAGAACCGCAGAGAGGCTCGGGCGGACAAGGAGGGCGTCTAACCCCCCCGTCCGCCCCACCTCACCTGGCGCTGGGTCCGAGTCCAGGTCTACTGCTGAGAAAGCGGTAGCTCCTCCGGCCGCCCCTCCGTCCCGCGCGGGAGACCACGGACACAAAGCGGGGCGCGCTGGAGGAGGGGGGAGGGACACGGCAGGGAGGAGGAGGAGACGCCTGAGGCGCTCGAGGGGGGGGGGGAAGGACGGGCGCCGCCTGGGTCAGGGGGCGGGGCGTGTGGTTGGAGGCCGCGCTCGGCTAGCCAATGGCCACCCCGCGGGCCTGCTGGCTGGGGCGCGCCGCCAGCTCGCAGCTCACCTCGGCACCTGGGCCTCTTCTAGTCCCAGCCAATCAAATGCCTTTATTTGCATAACCGGCCCCGCCCACCCGCCCCAGCCTGGGGACTGCTCCCTGAGAACACAAAGAAGGCCCCTCATAGGGGGAGGAGGATCCACTCCCAATTCCTTACCACGAGGGCTTGGCATCACCTTTTCAGCGCGTTTGTTGGACTTTCATAGTCACCCTGATACAGGGAGGGAAGTGGAGGGTCACAGACCTTTGGCCCAATATGTCTTTTAAAAGGTTGGATCTTGTCTCTCTGAGAGCCTTCTAAACCAAGCTACCCTCCTGTGACAGGGCACACAGTCCCTTGTCTTCGCCTTTGAGCTCTCTTGCGCCCCTCTTCCATCCCCCTCCCCTTTTTCCAGCTGCCCCAATCTCTGGGCTTCTTCCCGTAGGCTGCTGCCCACTACTGGCCTTCTGCTGCACTGCAACCCTGATCAGCAGGCTCTGAGCACAGCCTTAATTAAGATGCTTGGGACTTGCCCAAACCTACCCCTGTCCAGAAGGAAACCGAGAGAGTAAGAGGTTACTGCACCAGGCTTGAAGGGACCCCGTCAAGTAGCTTTGTTACCTATGATGCCAAAAGCCAACACTTAGCATAAGTCTATACTCAAATCATTTCGCCCCACCTTCTCCTACCTTCAGGTCTGTACTGGGCCACAATGGTGACTGACTGGCCAGCCCGTTTCAGAGCAGCTGCAGCCTGCTCATGAGTTGCATTCCTCAGGTTGACGCCATTCACCTGTTGAAACAGAGGGGCTATAGCCATCCCCAAAACAAGAAAGGGAGTCCTCTATCCTAGCAGTTAGGAAAGAGAGAGGCATAGCCTACCCCTGACCCACTCAGATGCATTTCTCAATATCCAGTCCTTGCCCCTAAGAGGGGACCTAAAGGATGTGGCATCTCTAGTGGCATAATTATCTTAATAGGGTCAAATGCCAACCAGAATTAAGATCCAAGATACATTCATTTCCTCCTCAAGGATAAGTCTCATCTTGGTCCCCGTCCCTTGCTAAGGACATCCATAAAGAAAATAGAAGCTTCCTCCAGCTGTTAGCCCTTCCCCCGTCTCAAGAAGTGGTCCTTGGAAAAAGCAGGGTCTCTCTCCCCTCCTGCCTTTAGACTGGCACAACTCCCAACCTCCCATCTTGCCTTTGTCTCCTCACCGATAAGATCCGGTCTCCCCTTCGCAGCTCCCCACTCAGGTCAGCTGGGCCTCCTGCCAGGATGAAGGAGACAAAAATGCCTTCTCCATCCTCTCCTCCCACGATGTTGAAGCCCAGGCCTGTGGAGCCTTTGTGCAGGATGATCTTGCGGGGCTCTCTGGTGGGAAAGCAGTGAAAGGGTCAGGCAGTACAAGGTGGATACTAACTGGTGTCCCTATGAGGACCAGCCTGGGACAAGTCCCTCCCATATCACTGAAGAAGGACTTACGTCCCTATGTATGACAGCCTGTTCCTCCCTTTCTCTCCTGGAACCTGCTTGGCTGCTGTTTTCTGCCAGGTGCCAAGTTTCAGTTCCTCTTCCCTCCCAGATTCCTGAGCCCTTGGAGTCAGCTTCCCAGTGGATAGTCCTCTAGTCTCTCAGGTCGGCAAAGTCCTAGCCTGGGCTCTGGACACCATAGCTCAGAGCCCACTGCCTGCTCTTCTTCCTCCCCATATTCTCCTCTCCTGCCAACTGGTGTGCTGGAGCCTGGGCCACAGAAGAGGAATTAGTTAGGGGCGGTGGAATCACCCTGAGGTTGACTGTATCCTGCATCCTCAAAACATTCACAGTTACTTTCCATTTGCGCCTCTGCTGTCTGAAAATCCCCCCCCCCCATGCTATGACCCATCCTACCTTCCCCAACAACAGATGTGGTCACCAGCTACTACTATGCAACCTTGCTAGGTGATGTGGGAGACAGAGGTAAATAACTCTCAGGTCCCCCAAAGAGGCTTAGGAGCCTAACTGAAGGGAGGGAACAAACGTAGGAGAACCAGGACTACAACTAACCATGCATAAGAAATCCCTCAGTAAATGGTCACAGTGGCATCAGGTGAAGACAACAGCCACTCAGGTATATCCATCCTGCTAGGGCCCCTGGCACACTCCCCCAGCCCACCGCCTACACTTTAAGCATCTTGTAATCAGAGGAGCCCCAAGTCCAAGAGTACTCCTTTCTTGCTCTGGGTCTAGGCCTGAGACTTCCTCCCTGAGTCCCGGATGCTCTTGCCAGAAGCCCTCCTCTCCTACCTGCCATCCCCTCCAGGTCGTAGGGAGCGGAGCGGCCAGGCCCACCTCTGCGAAGCCCTCCTCCAGGCCGAGGCCGAGGCCGAACCAAAGCCTTGAGCCAAGCCTGAGCCGGAGAATTTGCGTGCCCTCTCCATGGCTCCCGCGGATCTCCCCCGCCCGCCTATCCTTCCGGCCCCTCTGCAGCTAGCCCAGCAGCCTACCAGGCCCCACCCCACGGCAAACCTGTCCCCCGGAACCCCGGCAGGCCCGACCAGTTCCACCGCAGCCGCCGCCAGAGTGGGGCGGGGCCGGTCCCTTCGATGCCACCCGGCCCGCCAGCCTCCTCCCCCCCCCCGTCCCGCCAACCCCACCGGCTGCGGCTTTCGTCTGTAATTCGGGATGATTGCAGCAGAGGGGGCGGCAATTGTCTCGGGGCAGGAACCCCCGCAGCCTCCACCTCCTCAGCCCCCTAAACACTCCACCCCACCCTTTCTCAGCACTTTGGATTGGGGCCACTCACTTGGCACTCCCCCTGATGGTAGAACTCGTCCCTGCAGCCACTTCTATCCCTTCCGAGGGCCCCAAGGGCTGACAGAGGGCCCCAGACTCCCCAAAATAGGAGCGATGAGGACCTTGTCCCCATCTTTGCCATACTACACTAGGCCTGGAGGCAGCCAGAAAGGGATTCCTCCCGTCCCTGCCCCTAGATAGGGGGCGGGGGTCTCACCTGGTGAAGTCCTCCTCAACCAGCATGTGCCTGGGGATAGGAGAGTAGCGGGCTGGGGGAACCTGAGGAGGAGCAGGGTAGCTGACCTTGCTCTCCACAGTCCCGAGATAACCCAGGCTGGAATTATGGCTTATGTGGTTATCAGCCAAGGCAGTAAAAGCTGAAATCAAGAAAGGGAGAGAACACTTCAGACACACGGAGGTACCCTCCTCCCATCGCCAAGGACTGTCCCTCACAGCCCCCTCTCAGGTGCACCTCAGCACCAAGGGGTGCTAGTTCCTCAGGCCTCTCCTCCCCACTGCACCCCCCAGGGTTCCTCCTCCACAGCCCCTTTCTGAGTCCTGGGCTCACTCCTGTGAGTCTTAGAAAGAGCTAAAGTTGAGGCAGTCTACAAAGAAAGGCATGACTGGAGGTGTGACTAATAATAATCCCTCACATCTCTGTCGCCTAATACAGTTTTCCAAGGGCTTTCTCGTCCCTGGTCTCATTTGATCCTTGCAGCAGGCCTATGAGGAAGGCAGCACATACAGCATTAGCTCCCCGTTGCCAAAGAGGAAACTAAACACAGGTGAAAGGGACTTGTCCAAGGGCACCAGCTACAAGGGGACAGAGCTGGGGTTTGCAGTCAGTTCTCCTGAGCACTAGTCCTCTGTTCTCTCTGTCCCTGAACAAGGGGTATGAACTTCTTCCCTCCAGAAGCCAGGGGGTGGGGGCGTTGGCCCAGACACAGGGCATGTGGGTACGTACTGCTGGCGTAGTCAGGGGGTGCGTACATGTCGTTGAGGTGAAGGCTGCCTGGCTTGGCCACCTTCAGATAGACCATGTCAGACGTGTTCTTCAGCGAGGCCACAGCTTCCTCGTGCCTCACATCCTGCAGATTGGTGTTGTTCACCTAGGAGAGGAGAGGCCTTCGGGCTAGCACTTGGGAGAAGGCAGGGCCTCTCTGGGACCCCCCGGAAGGGGTCCTTTCAGTGAAGTTCAGCGGTGCCCTCTCATAGACCCAAGTATAGTGCTGTGAGGGGCAGAGAAGCCTGAGATAGGGGTAGGGTAGGGCATGTGAGGGACACACAGCCATGAACAAAACTAGGACCCTGGTGTCTGGGACACCCAATTCCAAGGATGCTCTTAAATTTCCCCACAATGCCTAGTCCCCGAGTGAGGTTCAGGTGCAGTGAGAGGCTGCTGGAGCTCCCCCTCCCCATGCAACGATTTGGGCATCCCCATGAAAGCTGTCTCACCGCCAGCAGCCGGTCCCCGATCTGTAGGCGGCCATCCTTCTGAGCAGCACCCCCCTCGATGATCTTGGTGATGTAGATGCTGTTGTCTCCTGGGATGTGCTGGTTGCCGATGCCCCCGGCAATGCTGAAACCCAGGCCTGGGTGGGAGCCAGCAGGCAGTGGGGAGAGGGCCACAGGAGACGTTAGAGTGCTCGGTCAGTCCCAAACCCAACCCTTGCTCCCAGACAACACACCCGTCCCAAGGGAGCGCCCCACCCCCCAGGGATTGCAAACACTACACTGCCATCCCCAGGCCAGTAAAGGTGAGACATGAGGTGGACAGAGAAGGCTGGGAGTTGGAATGGGGAGTCAGGCAAGGAGTGAGGCCATTCCCTCCATTCTCCTACAGGGCACACCAGAGACCTTTAGCCAGAGCACAGGAACCCACAGGGCTGCACCTTTGGGCCCTTTGAGCAGGTTGACCTCCATGATGGTCTCCGGTGGGGGCTGTCGCCTCCGCACCACCAACCGCACCACAGGGCCTGCCTCCTTCAGCGCCTCCACAGCCCGGCTGTGCACCACCTCCGACACGTCCACCTCATTCACCCGCAGCACACAGTCATTCACCCTGTGGGGGAAGCCCAAGAGGCATGACACCGCACCACCGCCTCTCCACCCCCGCCCCTGCCTCCTCCTGCTCCCCTCCCCTGCCCTCCCTTTCTCCCCCCTCTTTCCCTCCCCCTCCCTCTCCCCCCTCCTCTCAGATTGAATGGAAGGGTCATCCTTGCAAGGTGGCCCTCCTCCACTCATCTCTACCCTGCCCCTGCGGCCCCCAGCCCTGCTTCTGGGCCGCCTCACCCACCCCAGCCTCCCATCCATGGCGGCTGCTCCACCAGGGATGATCTTGGTAATGAAGATGCCGGGGTCATCAGGGACATGAGGGTTGTCAATGCCACCTGCGATGCTGAAGCCCAGGCCAGAATTGCCCTGCAGAAAGGAGTGGAGAGGGGCACAGTCTGGTCACTCAGAGAGCCTGAGGGAGGACTCCTGGCTCCCACCTCCCCCAACCACCCAAAGCAGGTGCTCCAGGCCTCAGAAGGAACCAGCGCAGACCAGGGCACATTCATCAGAAATCTGGTGGCTTCCCGGCCTGTGCTCATCATGATGGCGTAGAAGCCTCCGCAAAGCCATCCCCTCCTCAATTATCCAGGCTTCAGTGAGCAAGGTCAATTAATATTTGTGAGTCGCTTGATTGATTGATGCAGCGACGCGGCCTCTGAGGGCCGCTCTCGCCCCATCCTCTCCACGTGGGTCCCCCTCTGAGTGTTAAAACTGAGGTTCAAGGCCCTCCCCTCTCCTGGCTCACTCACTCCCCTCCCCCTTCATCCCGCCCTGCTGGCAGACTCACCCGCTCAAGTACTATCTCCTCATACTTGAACATGCCATCGCTGCCATTCACCTAGGGCAAGACACAGGCCATTCCTTCAGTGCGTCCTGCCCCCACCCAGCCGTCTGCCCCCTGGTCCACCTGCTCCTCCCCACTCCCCACAGACTAGGAAAGCCCAAAATGGACCCCAGGACACCTATTAGCCACAGATGGGGACAGGCTGACCCTGAGGAGCCCCCCCCCCACTTGCTTTCAGGCACATCAGGGCTAAACCCAACTGCTCACAAAGCTCAGATCAGTGGTTTGGGACTGAACCAGCTGGTGGTGCACACAGTGAGAGGCTGGGCTCAAGGGCCTTGTGGTTCACTAGGAGGGGTGCAGGGGGTGACAGAAACTGAAGATGTCAGGTAAAGCACGTCACACCTGGCATCCGTGGGGGCACCTAGTACCTGGATAGGGACCTGCTCCCCTTCTGAACCACAGCTCTCCACAGTGAGGACCACAGGCTCCCACCATGGAAGCGGTAGAAAGACAGCAGATACCGCCTTTTCCAACCTCCCTCATGTGACAGATGGTGACACTGAGGCCCAGAGAGGACATGGGCTGTGTGAAGGGTGCACTGGGAGTTAGTGGCGGAGCAGTGGCTCGAACCTAGATCTCCAGGTACTCTTTGGATTCAAGCAAGCTGCCAAGGCCTCTGATGTTTTGGCCACTCACCCCTTTCCCCAGCAGAGCTCATGGGGAAAAGGAGAGTTGTCCCTCCAGAGGACCTCATGAACCCACATTCTACATCTCCTTCTGTGTCCCCAGGAGCCCAGTTCCTCACATGAGCAGGAATCAAAGTCCTAATCCACTTTCTACCAAGAGGTGCTTAATCCTGAACCCCTCGTATTTCCCTGCAGAAAGCGCCAGGGAAGAATCTGGCCAGGAGTCAGAAGCAGAATGGACAAGATTCCCCATGAGGAAGAAGCCAATGGCCATGGGCTGATTGGCAGCAGAATCCCCAGCCTTTGACATGCAGTAGCCATGAGAGGAGACGCAAGGACAGGGGACAGAGACACAGGGTTGATCTGAGCAGCCCACAGAGGGGGCCTCCCAGACAGGATATACTTGTGGCCATTGTCAAGTGAAAATGTGATTCTGGACAGACAAGTAGCACCTACTTCCTGGCCCTCCCCCCTCCGCTCATCATCCCCTCAAACAGAGGAGCCCTCTTGCCTTTCTCTGCAGGTAAACCCAGCACCCCTCCCCCACCTTTCTCCGGCTCTGTTGATTCCTTTCTTACCTCTGAAGAGGGGAGCTGGGAACCCTGGCTGGGAGCTCCTCCATATGCCCTGCCCTGCTCCCCGCTCCCACCTGCACCCCCCCAAGCCTTGGCTTTGACAAACAAAGAGGAGGACAGGGGAAGAGGGCTGGCTAGTTATGCCCACACCTTTTCTGGGCCTGGCCCCAGGACTTTAGGCCCTGCAGCCCTGAGAGTTGGTGAGAAGACTCCAGCTGCAGCCCCACTCTGGTCCCTGATCCCAGGGGGAACCTATGGCTCTTTAGAGTCCCCACACCAACACAGGTGCCTCAAGTACCATGTGACAGAAACACAGGGAAAAGGACACCCATGCAGCTAGTCCTCACATGCATCTGGGGTACCATGTGTACCTACATGTGATAAGTCACTGCTTCAAGCCCCTCTCTGGTGAGATCCAGACGCTCCTGCTCTCACTGGTCCACCCTTTCACTACCCCCCTCAGGGAACTTGCCCCCAGCACCAGGAGCCACCCAGAGATCACCCCCCGGCAAAAGAACCTTGGCCAACTGGCCCAGCCTTGCAATTGTCACCCATCTCCCAGGTGAGCAGGACAAGCACGAGAGAGTGTTTGCAAGGATAAGGCCCCAGGATAGTAGGAAAAGGAGAGAGGTGGACTTGCTTGAGAAGGCAAGGGGCCAAGGCAAGGGACACAGGAAAGAGTAAGTGTGGACAGACAGGAGGCCAGAACCAAGGACTCCTCTCCTGAGGAAGTCCCCACCTTTGCTTCTGAGTTGAGAGCACCTCCTATCCCCAGAGGAGGACAGAGGCGGCCAGAATGGTCACTAGCTTGGAGCAGTCGGCACCTGCTCTCGAGAGCAAAACCTCCTCCTCTCTCCCTACCCTGGGGGCTGCAGAGTCAAATAAGCAGGCAGGCCCCTCCGCCATGCGTGCCAGGGACCTGGCTCTGCCGTCCCAGCCTCCATTTTGCTGCTTCTCCCACAGATGCTTCTTCCATTTTCTAAGCTGGCAGTTTAGGCTGGGAGTGGAAGCCGGAGTTGTGCCCGGCACCCAGGGGTTCCCAAGCTGTGCCAAGTCAGGCCTGGGGGGGCCAAGTTCTCCCACATCCAGGGGTACCCAAGGGAACATGCCCCACTGCGGCCAGTCCTGGCACCAGGGCAGCTGCCCCTTGCCTGGCTCCAGGCACCATTGCCTGTTCTGAGCGAGGAAGCTCTCTTCGGTCCCCCCGCCCCCCCACCCCCAGCACACACACACTTCAGAGCTGCCTGGACAAAAGAGTCTGTCCTTCTCAGCAGCCTCTCAGCCTTGCTTGGGACCGTGTCTCTTTCCTCCTCCCCCTCCCCTGCCTTGCCTGTCAAGCACCTCTCGGCAGGGACACCACACACATGCCCAGGCACATGTGTGCTCACACTTGCAGCCACATGCTCACACACATAGACATGCAGCCACACACACTGCTGAACACGGCCATCCCTGCAGCCTCATCTACAGAAACACCTCCACGTTCTGAGAGACGGTCTCACATGTCCATGTGCACATTCACACACAAAGGGACTGGGACAGAGAGGGACTCATGGCATCGAGGGACGGAGCTCAGCGAGCCGGGCACATGGGCTCTACATAGATTCACGGAAGCTCCACTGCCTTCCTCCACACACCTCAACATACATACACACACACACACACATGTCCCCCCTACGCAGAGCACCATTGCCCCCTCCTCCTCTCCTGTGGAGACACACACCACACACAGCCCCCGCAGAACCTCCCGCCCCCTGCCAGACACAGAGACACTGCTAAACCCCGGCACCAAGACAAACCCGATTCCCCCACGCAGGAAAATGTGCCCCTCCGCCATACCTTCACCCGACACACACAGCTCCTCCCAATCCCCTCCAAATGGAGACCCCCAAACAGACACACACAGAGAAGCACACATTTCCCACCGTCTCCCCGGCCCAGCTGCAATGCTACGGCTTAGGGTCCACTGGCTTGGAGCCCCAAGAATCCCTGCTGCACCCCAGGCCTCTAGGCCCCCACTCCCCAGCCACCGCACCACCCCGGCTTGCCCCACCGCCCCCCCCCCTCACCGGTCCATACCTGTTCATACCAGTCCCGGTTGGTACAGGTACACTCAGGCCACCAGCTGGGGCCGCTGCCGTTGAGTTTGGGGGTGCTCTTCCCAGGGACTGGCTTAGGGGGCACTGGCCCCACATCCCGGCCAGTGGGGATGAGCTTGGCCTTGGTGCGGGGGGTTGGGGCGGCCCCCGCCTGCGAAGGCAGGGTCTGCGAGCTGTAGCCCCCATAAGCCGTGCTGGCTCCATTGCCCCCACCTGGCCCGTAGGGGTCGGGCACCTGCCAGTCCCCGTAGCCCGGAGGCTCCAGGCGCCGCAGGGCGGCCAGGCGGGTCACCTCGTAGCACTCCGGGCACTTACAGCAGTGCTGGTGCTTGTGCATGGCACTGCCCCCCGCGGCCCGGACCCCCCAGCCAACGCCGGTTTCCACGCCGCCGCCGCCGCCGCCGCCGCCACCGCCGGGCTCCCGGGCACACTCACACTGCTCGGACCAGGAAGGGGGGGGCACCCGTGGGGGCGCACGGGCGGAGCGGGGCCTGGGGCCGGGCGGGCGTCCCGGGGCCTCTGCCCCCACGCTGCCCCGCACCCACGGCTCCCCCTCCAGCACTGGCGGCTCCGTGTCGCCCGTCGTGGCTCCTGGGCCTAGGCCCAGTGGCAAAGAAGAAGCGGGAGTCTGGGCAGAGGCTGGGTGCTGCGAGGACCGCTCCTGCACTGGTCCTCAGGATGGATCTGAGTGGAGTCGAGAGCATCTCTCCCTGGCTCTCTTCTCAGTTGATTCCAGCCAATCAGCGTGCAGAGTCAGGCAGCGGCAGCGGCAGCGGCAGGAATGCTAAACAGCGGCTCCTTAAAGGAACAGAGGCATTGGCGCCCCCAGGCGCTGCCCCAGCTCCCCACATATCCGGGGCGCCGTCAACCCTGGGGCGGGGGCAGAGCACTTGGGCCACGGGTGAGCTCAGCCCTGGATCTCGTGTCCCAACATCCCCGATTTCAGCGCATCCTCCGCCCACTCCACCCCACCCGACTTCCAAGAGGGAGTTGCTGGAAGATGCTCAATGGGTCCCCGGGCTTGCTCACAGCTGGGGCCACCAGGAGTAAAGAGACTTGAGGCAGCAGAACGGACTGAAGGGACACTGGGGAAAGTGCTCTCTCCTAACAGTGATCCGGGCAGAGGGTCGCTTATGAGGCCACTCGCCTGTCAGTGCCTCCTCTTTGGGACTATTGTTCTCTCAACCTCTAGGCCCCGAAATGCCCGCAACCTCCCACTTGATCTGCTTCCATTACCGGTGAGTCCCTCTCCTAGAGTCCCTTCTAGGGACTTACTCCTAGAACAGGAGGAAAAGAAAGCTCAAACTTCTTGTCCCTGGCTCACAGGCTCCTGTCTCCTCCACCCAACTTCTGCATAGTTATGATGGAAGAAAGACCTTCAGGGCACCAAGAGGAAAGCAGGTCCAGGGCAGGAGGAAAAGCGAGAAGAGATGTGAAGTCAGAGAAAGCATTCCGTGGGGGAGGGGTTCTGCAGAACTTGGAAATCTCCTTAGCCACTCCTGGCTCAGCCTGCTGGGGCAGGGAGGCAGGATGACAGGGCCGAAAGACTTTATCTTTTTGCTGCTCTTGTTTTGTCATTAGCTACCAATTAGTGAGTCTTTACAAAGTCGAAGTGCCTCGCGTGAAAACAAAAACCCTACCAAGGTGCGATGATTATTATCTTAATTTGACCAATGACAAACTGAGGCTCAGGAGTGTTGATATAGCTAGGGACCATTGTTGAAAGTGACAGAATCAGGATGCAAGACTTGGCCATTTGCCTCCAGAGTCCATGCTCTGAACCACTCTAGTACAACAGGCCCATTCTAAGTTCTGCAGAACTTAGATCTCAGTTCAACAGATATTCATTGCACACCTGCTCTGGGCAGGACCTTGACCTAGGTCCTAGAGATACAGAAAATCATTCTTTTTTTTAAAGATTGTATTTATTAGCCCTGGCTTGTGTGGCTCGGTGGATTGAGCATGGGCCTGCGAACCAAAGGATCGCAGTTCAATTCCCAGTCAGGGCACATGCCTGGGTTGCAGGCCAGTTCCTAGCAGAGGACTCACGAGAGGCAACCATACATTGATCTTTCCCTCTCTCCTTCCCTTCCCCTCTAAAGATAAATAAAGAAAATCTTTAAAAAGTTTAAAAAATAAAGATTGTGTTTATTTTATTTTTTAGAGAGAGGAAGGGAGGGAGGGAGAAAGAGAGGGACAGAAATATCAATGTGTGCTTGCCTCTCACGTGTCCTCCTACTAGGGAGGACCTGGTCCAAAATCCAGGCACGTGCCCTGACTGGGAATCAAACCAGTGAGCCTTTGGTTCACAGGCCAGCACTCAATCCACTGAGCCACACCAGACAGGGCCTGAAATTTATTCTTAATTCAGCAAACTTTCATTGAGCACCTCCTATGTGCCAGGCACAGTTCTGGGATTGGGGGATTAAGCAGAAAACAGAACAAATCAAAACATACAAAAAATCCCTGTCCTTGGGGAACTTACATTCTAGTGAGAGGACACAGACAAAAATTATCACAGTAAGTAAATGAATGATATGCTACGTATGATGATAAGTGCCGTGGGGAAAAAAGAAAAAGTAGAGCAGAGAAAGGGGGATTTGGGTATGCCAGAGAGACAGTGGGCTGGGACCATTTTTCTTTGAGTTTCTTATGTGCTTTTAATATGAAAATGTTCAAATATACAGAAAAACGTAAAGAATATTACAGAACAAACACCCAATTGCCACCTAGATTCTTATTAACATTTTACCACACTTGCTTAATCACATATCTATCCTCCACATGCATGTCCTCTCCAACTTTTTTTAAAATAAAAACTTGCAGCCTTGGCTGGTGTGGCTCAGTGGACTGGGTGCAGGCCTATGAACCAGAGAGTTGCTGGTTTGATTCCCAGTCAGGGCACATGCCTGGGTTGCAGGCTGGGTCCCCAGTTGGGGGGCATGAGAGGCAACCACACAGTGATGTTTCTCTCCCTCTCTTTCTCCCTCTCTTTCCCTCTCTCTAAAAATAAATAAAGTCTTTAAAAAATAAAAATGAAAACTTGCAAATAGGCAGACATGTGGGAAGAGCAGTACAATGAGCACCTCCATATCTTTCTCATGGAGTCAACAATGGGTAGTGTCTTTTGATATTTGCTCTATCAGTCTATCTCCACTTTTTTTCTGAACCATGCGAATGGAAGTTACAGATTTCAGTTCACTTCTCCAAATACTCCAGCAGGCATATTGTAGGAATGAAGACCTCCTCCTACATAACCACAATATTATTATACAATCAAAGAAAATTAACAGTATTTCATATCATTTAACATCATCTAATACCACCAGTTCTGAATTCAAATCCCCCCCATTTCCCTTTTATATTTAAAAAAAAAGATTTTATTTTATTTTTTATTTTTAGAGAGAGGGGAAGGGAGAGAGAAAGAGAGGGAGAGAAACACTCACTGTGTGAGAGATATAGCCATCAGTTGCTTCTCGCACGTCCCCAGTTGGGGACCCAAACAGCAACCCAAGCATGTGCCCTGACAGGGAATAGAACCGGCGACCCCTCGGTTTGCAGGCCAGCGCTCAGTCCACTGAGCCACACCAGACAGGGCTGCTTTTTATACTTTTTTAGCATCAAGAATCTAATCATGGTTCTCACACTGCATTTGTGTCTTTAGCCACTTTTAATCTAGAACAGCCCCAACCTTAAAAAAAAAACCTTTTTCTTTTTAAAGAATTATAGATTTACAAGGAAGCTGCATAGATAATAGATAATACAGAAAAGGCCAGCTTCCCTCAGTGATTATATCGTACATAATTAGAATACAACATCAAAACCAGGAAATTGACACTGATACAATGAGTGTACGGTCCTATGCCATTTTACCATATGCGCAGATTCCTGTACCAATCGCTGCAATCAAGATACAGGACTGCTTTGTCACCACAAAGATTTAGTGGTGTCATCATTTCATCACAATGGGGAAAGTGTAGAAACCTTACCTCCCTTCAAGTCCCCTTCCCCTATCACATTATGTTTCTTCTACGTACAGTGAACTCTGCATCAGATGATTTCATACTCAGTGCTTCCACCATCAAACCTAAGTTAGACAACTCCATAGGAGAAAGAAACCCTACGTATTTACATTTTTTTCATTCTATTAGGTCCTCCTTCCTGATGGTCCAAGGTTTCTTCTTTTATCATTTCTTTTCTGTTTTGAGAACTGCCTTTTTAAAAATAATAATTTTATTTAGTTATTTTTCTTTTTTTTGTCTATTTTTCCCATCCCAGCCTCCCCCACCCCTGGCTCCCCACCTCCCTCCCATTTCCACCCCCTTAGTTCTCGTCCCTGTGTCCTTCCTATTTGTTCCTCCAAATCCCTCCCCCTTTTTCCCCTTAACTTCCCTTCCTTCTCCCCTCTGGTCACTGTCCCCTTGTTCTCTATTTCAGTGTCTTTGTTTTTATTCTGCTTGCTTGTTTGTTTTGTTGTTTAGCTTCCTGTTAAAGGTGAGATCATATGGTATTTGTCTTTGAGAACTGCCTTTAACTATTTCTTAGGGTGGGTCTGCTGGTGACATCTCTTAGCTTTCTTTTGTCTGAGGGTATCTTGATTTCCCCCTCCTTTCTGAAGGATATAGTCACCGGCCCTAGCATTCAAGGTTGGCAGCTCTTTTCTTTCAACACTTGAACTCAGTCGTGCCACTTCCTTCTGGCTTCCATGGTTTCTGGTGACAAATCCACTGACACCAAATTGTTTTTCCCCTGTAGGTAAGGTGTTTTGGCTTTCTTGCTGCTTTAGAGATTTTCTCTTTGTCTTGTTTTCAATTGTTTGCTTGTAATGTATCTTGGCATGGGCTTCTTTGAGTTTATCCAGATTGGGATTTGTTCAGCTTCTTGAACCTGAAGGCTTCTGTCTTTTGCCAAATTTGGGAAATTTTCAGTCATTATTTCTTGTGAACTTTTTCTGCTTTTTCTTCTCCTACGATGCCGATGACACAAATGTTAAGTCTTCTGATAGCACCACATGTCTCTGAGGCTCTGTTCATTTTTGGTTTTAGTTTACTTTCCTGTTGCTGTTCAGAATGGGTAATTTCTAATGTTCTATTTTCAAGTTCACTGATTCTTTCCTCTGTCCTTGTCCATCTTGCTGATGAGCCCATTCAATGAAATTTTTAGTTCGGTTATTGTATTCTTCTGTTCTAAAATTTCTATTTGATTTTTCATTACATCTCCTATTTCTTTGCTGGGAGTTTCCTTTCCCCCCCCCTCATTTGTTTCAACCTTGTTTGTTACTGTTCATCGAAGCATTTAAAATTTTTTTTGAAGCATTTTTTTAAAATGTTGGCCACT